AGATCGGGATTGGTTTGGTATAAAACGGACTTGAAGTTGAGAAATTGGAATTTTGGGTGTTCTTGGATGATTTCATGAATTTGGGGTTCAATTCATAGTTGTTGATGTTATTTTGATGATTTGATTGCACGAGCAAGTCCGTATGATGTTTTTAGGTTGGTGTGCATGTTTGGTTTGGAGCCCCGAGGGCTCGGCTGAGTTTTGGATAGTCCACGGAGTGGAACTGGACTTAGGGTTAAGTGCTGCTATCTGGTATTTTTGCCCAGGCCTCTGGTCTCACAATTGCGAGACCAGGCTTCGCAATTGTGAAGTTCTCAGGCTTGGCAACTGCGACCCAGGCTTTGCAAATGCGAACCAAGCCTGGGCAGGCCCTTTTCGCAAATGCGAACTATTGGTGGGAATTGCGAAGCCCCTCTTTCGCAAATGCGACTGGTTCTTGCCAAATGCGAAGGTGACCCTATTGCTTTATGGTCGCAAATACGACACATTCTTCGCATTTGCGAAGATAGCAGGCCCTGAAGGGGTTCGCAATTGCAAACCCTGGTCGCAATTGCGACATCTGCAACCTGCAAAATCATAACTTAGCCGAAAATCTTTCATTTTTCAAACCTTTTCAAAACCTAAACACCTTTTGGCGATTTTTCAAAGACAAGTACTCTTCCAAATCGATTGTAAGTCATTTCTAAATCGTTTTCATTAATCTTATTTTCTCATGATTTCAACTCAAAATCAAAGGTTTTCATGGGGGAAATTGGGTGTTTTGGATAGAACTTAGGTTTTTCAAATTTTGGGGATTTGGACCTCGAATTGAGGTCCGATTTCAAAACAAATTATATATTTGAGTTTGTGGGTGAATGGGTAATCGGATTTTGGTTCGAACCTCGGGTTTTGACCATGTGGGCCCGGGGTCAATTTTTGACTTTTTGGGAAAAACTTTAGAAAATCTATTTTCATGCTTTAGAATCGATTCATTAAGCATTTATTGATATAGTTAAGTAACTTGTGGCTAGATACGAGCGAATTGGTGGTGGAAATCAAGATGTAAAGCGGTAGTTGAGGCTTGAATTGTGTTCGTAGCATCGAGGTAAGTGTTTGGTCTAACCTTAGCTTGAGGGATTAGGAGTGGTGTATTAATTGCTATGTGTTAATTGTGGAGTACGACGTATAGGCATGGTGACGAGTATCTATACGTCAGTGTCAAGCACGCCCGTGGGTCTAGAGTTGTAATTGTTGTGACTCCGTTGAGATTTATTCATGCTTAATATGTTGATTGTCATTGTTGGTTCCCTTGTTGGGATGCTATAGTTGTGATATTGTCTCCCTTGCCGGGATATTATTGTTATGACATTGTCTTCCTTGCCGTGATGTTATTGTTTACGATATTATTTTCCCTTGCCGAGATTGTTGTTGTTATACTCTTGTTCCCTTACCGGGATTCTTTTGTGATTTATGTTTATATGAAATGGGAGCGGGTTGCACGCCTGCAACGAGATATATGAAATGGGAGCGGGTTGCACGCCTGCAATGAGATATATGAAATGGGAGCGAGTTGCACGCCTGCAACGAGATATATGAAATGGGAGCGGGTTGCACGCCTGCAACAAGAAAGAAATGAAAGTGAATGCTGTGTTTGTTTTCCTCATTATTGTTGGCAACTACATGATGGTTTCTTTACATTCCTCTTTGGTATTTTGTTGTATCTGGTACTCCCCGTAGCATGTCACCCCCCATCTTTAACTGTGTATATCTGCTTTATTTTCCGCTGTATATGATTTAAATGCACAGGTTTATTTGGTAGTTTGGTCCTAGCCTCGTCACTACTTCGCCGAGGTTAGGCTAGGCACTTACCAGCACATGGGGTCGGTTGTGCTGATACTACACTCTGCACTGTGTGCAGATACTGATACCGGAGCATTTGGACCGCAGTGAGGGTACTGTCTTCAGTCCATCCAGGCGACCCGAGGTAGCAGGCGTCCATAGGCCTTGACGTCTCCTTCTATCTTTGTCTACTGTTTCTTCTATGTATTTCTGAAACAGTTTGTATCTATTTTTCGGACCCTTGTTTGTAGTATTCTTAGACCGTCTGTGAAATTGCAACACCAGTATTGGGTAGTTTATGTATGGATTGGTATTGGCATCTTTATTAAAATATTACATTTCAGTCTTCCGCTTATTAAATTCCGTTGTTTTTCTAATGTTGGTTATTAATTGTAAAAGGATTAAAATGAGAAAAAGGTAAATAATCCAAATGATCGGCTTGCCTAGCTTCCACTAGTATGCGCCATCACGACTTTCGAGAGTGGGAAATTCGGGTCGTGACAGATTTCACTGAAGAGTTTCCTACTGTTATTCTATTGTGGGTCAAATTTCCTAAGTTGCCTACGTCTTGTTGGGGAGATGGCTCACGCAGCAGAATTGCTAGTGTAATTGGGAAGCTTATATTTGCTGATGAGTGCACTACTAAGCAGACTCAGGTATCCTTTTCTCGAATGCTTATTGAGGTTAATGTTATAAAAGAGCTGCCAACTGAAATTGTGGTTATGGACCCAACTGGAAAGAAGTTTTTGCAAGATGTTACCTATGACTGAAACCTGCCTATTGTGAAAAATGCTTGGTTGTGGGACACAAGTGTTCAAATCGAGCCAGACCTATGATGCATCAGCCAATCCAGCCTAAGAGAGTCAGGGGTAACAAGGTGATCATACGGGAATGGAGAACTAAAGGTCCAATACCTAATTCACCTATGCCACTGAATGTACCATCCTCTAAGATTCAACAACAAGGTGTTACCAATTTGGAAGCTGAAAATCACAGAAGAGCAACAAAGACACCTGAACCTAAGGAGATTACTACTCAGTAAAACTTGGTACTTGTAGCTGAGAAACAAGACGATAAAGGCAAAACAGTGCAAAGCCCTGAACTTAATCTCATCAACTTTTCCCCTTTGTCTCCCATCCCAGTGAGAAATAGGTTTGAGGCAGTTTCTACAAGTAGACATGAAGTACACATTCCACCTGGTGATAGAGGTGGAAGTAGTAATCAACAATGATGAATTGGTTGTTCTAGAATATAAGAGGTGTAAATTAAAGGTATAGGCATAATGAGGTTAGGGAGTATATTAGGAGCAATAAAATAAAGTTAGTAGGTCTTGTAGAAACTAAAGTAAAGGAGGGAAATGCTCAAAGGATTTCAAAAGTTATTGTTCCTGGATGGAATGTACTGACAAATTATAAAGATGCTAGGAATGGGAGGATTTAGTTACTATAGTCATCTCATTGTTACTGGTATTAGAGATGATGCTCAAATGATACATTGTCAGGTGAAAAGTAGAAGGGGAGACATAGATTGCTTACTCACTGTAGTGTATGGTTACAATGAGATAGTACAAAGAAGAGCTCTATAGGATAACCTACAACTACTATCAGCAAGTATCACAGTACCATGGCTAATAGCAGGAGATTTCAATGCAGTACTGTATTCAAATGACAGACTATCTTGTAACCAGTAAGCTACTCAGAAATACAAAAATTTGTTGCTTGCCTTCAACAAACAACATTGACAGAACTACCTTGGAAGGGTGACTATTATACATGGACTAATAAACAGCCTGGTGTAGATAGGGTCAGCAGTAGATTAGACAGAGTCTTTGGTAACTATGAATCGATGATGGCCTGAGGTCATGTGGAAACAACTTATGGTTTGCCTCAAATATCAGACCATGCTCCTATACTTTTAACATTGTCATCTTCAACATGGACTTGTAGAGAACCTTTCAGATTTTCCAACATATGGGCAACCCATGCATATTTCTCTCAAATAGTGGCATGTATATGGAATCATCACAATACTCATGGAACTTTGAAATCTGTATGGACAAAATTGAAAGACCTGAAACCTGCTCTCAAAGCTTTAAACTCTAGGGAATTTAGGGGCATTACTCAGAGAATTAAGAAGGCTAGAATAGAGCCAAGGACCATTCAAGAACAAATCTCAATGACTTGTACTGATGCTTTATTAGATATGGAGAAGGAAAAACTACTCAATATTGAGAAGTGGTCCTTAATTGAAGAGAGTGTACTACAACAGAAAGCTAGCAAAATGGATACAGCTTGGAGATTCAAACTCTAAATACTTCACAGCAGTGATGAAGGATAGAACTCAAAGGAAGCAGATTACAGAAATCACAACATTACTAGGAGACAAGTTGACTGATCCTGAAGCCATCAAAAGAGAGATCATGGATTTCTAATGGGATTAGATGCCAATTCCTTACCAGCCATAAACAGATCATACACGGAAAATGGTCCTACATGTCTCATCAGCAAAGGGTGGATTTGTGTGCAGAGGTATCTGACCAAGAGATTGTTGAGAGTCTTAAAGCAATTGGTGATGATAAAGCTCCAGGTATTGATGGTTTTAATGCAGTTTTCTTCAAAAAAAGCATGGGGCATTATCAACATTCAAATTACGTAGGCTATAAAGGAGTTCTTCTCAACTGGAAAGATCTATAAGGCAATAAACTGTGTCACTGTCACATTAGTTCCTAAAGTGACTAAGTCTGCCACAATTAAAGAGTATAGACCAATAGCTTGTTGTTCAGTTCTATACAAGATGATCTCTAAGATCTTGGCTTCTAGATTGCAGAAAGTCATGCCATTCACAATTTGTGAAGCTCAAGCAGGTTTTATTACTGGTAGAAAGATTGCTGACAATGTCATTCTAGCTCATGAACTAGTTACATCCTACACTAGAGCTCAGATATCCTCTAGGTGTATGATAAAGATTCACCTTCAAAAAGCATATGATACAGTGGAGTGGATCTTTTTACAACAAGGGATAGAGGAGATAGGTTTTCCTGACAGATTTATTAAATGGATAATGGAATGCATCAGGACAATAAACTATACTGTCCTTGTGAACGGAGAAACTACTGAACCTTTCAATGCTGACAAGGGTCTTCGACAAGGAGATCCCATCTCTCCTTTTCTATTGCAATAGTGATGGAGTACTTGAGTAAGTCCCTCCATGAGCTGAAGAAGGAGCCTACATTTCAGCACCACCCCAGGTGCAGGAAATTGGACATAACTCATATAAGTTTTGCTGATGATCTATTGTTATTTGCCAGGGGTAATCTGTCTTCAGTGACTGGACTATACAAGTGTTTCTCTCAGTTTTCTAAAGCATCAGGTTTGTAGGCTAATTTGAGTAAAAGTTCAGTGTATTTTGGTGGAGTGAAGCAAGATGTGAAGAAGCGGATTTTGGATCACCTGGGATTTGAACAAGGTTCTTTGCCTTTCAAGTACCTAGGCATTCCTCTATCTACAAAGAAAATAGCACCCATTCAGTGGCAACCTTTGATTGAAAAGATCACAACCAAGATATCTTCATGGACTGTTAAAAAGCTATCCTATGCTGGTCGTGTTTAGCTGGTGCAATCTGTTATATTTGGTATTCAAGCCTATTGGGCTCAACTATTCATCTTGCCTGCTAAGGTTTTGAAAATTATTGAGTCACTCATATTTGGTCAGGAACTAATACAATAACTAGGAAGGCATTAGTGGCATGGGATAAGATATGTACTCCTAAGTCAGTTGGTGGTCTTTATCTTATAAATCTCCCTCTGTGGAACAAAGCAGCAATTGCTAAAACATGGTGGGATTTAGCTCACAAGCAGGACAAGTTATGGATAAGGTGGATTAGTGCCTACTACATCCAACAGCAGCAGCTACAGCATATGCCAATCCCACAACAAGCAAGTTGGATGGTGAGAAGAATAATTGGATCAAGAGTTACCATGCTGCAGGCACAGAACTCCAGTGATCACAATACCAGTAGTATTAGACAAATATATCTACAGCTGATAGGAGAATTGCCAAGAGTGAGCTGGAAATGTCTAGTCTTTCAGAATTCTGCTCGACCAAAGGCAGTATTCACTATGTGGTTGCTACTGCATGGAAGACTACCTACTAAGGATAGACTAGCCAACTGGGGAATAAATGTCACTCCTCACTGTGTAATGTGCTCAGGTCAGGTTGAGACAAGGGAGCACCTCTTTGTGCAATGTTCATATGCAACAGAACTGTGGAACAAAGTTATGAAATGGATTCAGAGAGACCAAATGATAAGCTCATGCTGGGATCTACATCTTTAGTGTATCATCAAGCAGGGAAAAGGGAAGTCCAACAAGGCTAGCATATTCAGAATATGTTGAAACCTCATATGCTATATAGATTGAAAGAAACACACGTACATTTGAGCAAAGATATTGAGGCAGTGATGTTTTGGCAAGAGAGATAGCATATATTTGCAATATTAGAGTAGCTGCTCGAGCTAAGAGTTATATACAACAATTTCTTATTGGGAAGAGTAGATCAATAGTGATATATGTAATTAGGTATGTGATAGTTTGCTCTTTTATCTGAGATAGTCAGCTGAGTTAGCTTGACTATGGAATTGTACAGTTTCATCTTTGGTGATTAATAAAAGCAAGGGCGAAGCCAAAGGGTGGTCAACTGACCACCCTCCGTCGGAAAATTACACTGAGTATATAGGTAAAATATTAGGTATATAACATATATTGAACACTCTTTGTCGGAGAAGTTTTTCACTACTTTCAAGTTTGAACACCCTTGAGAAAATTCCTGGCTTCGCCACTGGATAAAAGTGAAAGTTAATTACCAAAAAAAAAAAATTGTTTATACTAAGATACATTGATAATAAAAATCGATAGTAACTTGACTACTATTATGCTTTAAAATACCAAAAGCAAGAATTACGACTACAATTTTATTTCTTCTTAATCGGGATTTGGTATTTTATTATAACCAATATTATAGGAATTTAAATTATGTGAAACAATGGAGACTTCTAGTCTAATAGTATTTGGAGTCTTTCACGCTGAGATTTGATTCTCGTTATTTGGTTTTCTCATTCTTCATTTTTATTTTCTTTTATAATGTATGGAGTATCTGAACATGGAACATTAAGCCAAAGATCAAAACGAGGTGCCATAAAGGAGTTCGTAAAGTTGTCTAATTATTTGAAAACACACATATATAGTACATTTATTACTTGATAGTACAAGTTATAGAGTTCCTCATATCCAAAAGAATAAAAAAGCTTCCGATATCCAATATAATCTAAACCAACGACAGTATACGTAATATGTTTCATTCTTTTAACGTAAATTTTTATCACTTAATCTTGATTAAACTTTTCTATTCTCTTATTCTTAGTGACTGAGTACACACTGCGTCTGATGATTTAACGAAATGAAAGTTCACATTTTTCGTGCAAAAATCGCAATTCGATTAAAAAAATTATCGTTTGATTAGTTATATTCATTGTTCTTCAACTAGGACACTTTAACCATAAATCTCTACTGATCCTGTTACGATAACTATAACTATCACACAATTGCTTGCAAACTAGTTACTACTTCAGAGGGAAACAACAATTAATAAATTTGTTCTAGTAAAAGATATTCGGTTCATCATATTACTCCTAATAAATGGATACATATAACATAAACTACACGTTTGATTTTAATAGCATAATTAATTAATTCCTCTTCCAAATGAGAAGAGTTTTTCTTTCGAAAAGTTTCTTGTAAATTCAAAATGGAGAACAGAAACATTTCTAGAAACATAAGAGAAATAACAATTTATGAGATAGTAAATTAATTAAGCTCCCGTTTGGTCATAGATTTGGCTTCATTTTTTCAAATTTATTTTTGAAAACATTGTATGTTTATGAAATATGATCATATTTTGGGGGGAAAATTTCAAAAATTCAAGTTCCCAAAAACTGGTTTAGGGCAGTTTTTGGGTGAATTTTTTTTCTTTCACTTACAATTCACAAAACTCAAGTTTTTTTCAAATAAAATGCATATCCAAATACAACTTCAACTTCCAAAAATTATTTTTCAATACAGGTTCAAAAACTCTTTTTTTAAGTTTCAACCAAATTTATGTTCAAACGCTAGCTAAGCAAGTTGAAAAGGCTTTTGTCCCTTTACTTGATGTTATTTAGATATTGCTAATGCATGTAATGTCATTTCACATTGTATTCCGCATAAAGTAATCGCTGGTAGTGTATGTTGACGTTTCTCAGGAAAATTCACACAAAAAATGTGTTTGAAGGGATGCAATAATAGCTGCAAACATGTAGTAACAGGAAACCATAGCTGGCTTTTGAAACAACTTGAATTAGTAAGTCAATAATCTATGCGAACTTAACTATACTTCATGAATTCCATCTGTACCAATAGCTTCTGTTTCCTTGTTTATGTTATTTTTGGAAGAATTAACCCAAATAGCCATCCACCCAATTTTTAGACTAAAAATAGCCGCGGGCAGAGGTATGATATATGCATAATTTGAATATTAATTATATGTGTATAATCAATGTATAATCTATGTATATAACTAAAAAAAATAAACACATCATATGGCCGGCCGGCTATTTTTTCTGCCTTAATTGCACACACCGAGCAAATATTCTAATATTTCTCGTTGAACCTCAATGTAATAAAAGTAAATGTCTGTACACAAGTCTAGTTTGTAAACCATCTAATACAATAGAGACAGCCATCCCAAATAAAGAGGAAAAAGAGATGTAGGACAGTTAAAGGAAACAGTAAAGTTGCCCAATAATCACACCAGTGCCAACCAGCTCGTCTTCCACATTTGTAGCAGAAATAGGCACCACACCTCCATCCAAATGAAAAGAGAATCGGATTAAAGTAACACACTCAAAAGTTGAATCCTTTCTCCACTTCTTATGGTTTAATATCAGAAAAAAATTTATTTGTTTGAATTCCAAAAATAGTGCAACTTTTTAACAAAGCCACAAGTGTCACAAATATTAACGTAACAGCCCAGCCCGCTAATGATATTGTCCTCTCTGGGATTAGGTCTTCACGAGTTTAAAACGCATCAATATGATCTAAGGCTTGTTAACATATATACCCAGCATCTCTCTTGTATTTTGCCGATGTGGTATTCTGTATAAAATGTGGGTGTTACATACACCCTTTCTTATGGTCTTTGCCCTGCCTAACCGAGATTTGCCTAAACCCGATTGAACTCTAAGGCTCTGATACCATTTGTAACAGCTCAACCTCCTAGTAATATTGTATTGTCTTCTCTGGGCCTAGGCCCTCGGGGTTTAAAACGCGTTACTGAGGTCTAAGACTTGTTAACTTATATACCTAGCACCACTCTTATGTTTTGCCGATATGAGACTCTGTCTGAAGTTTGGGGTGTTACAATTAATCAAAATCGCACACAAGAGTACATTAAATCATAATAAGATACACAATTATATCAAGTTTCATAGTTAGATAATCCAAAAAACTTTTTTGTATATGAGCTTATTGAATAAACAACCAGTGGTCATGTTATTTTCTTTTTGTTGTTGCTACTCATATTGTATAGAGAGTAGCCCTCTCTGCCTTCTTAAGAATCTTCCATTGTATAGCTCACAACACAACTCGAAGAACTTGCACTCAGCTTCCATAACTGTATAATCCTAATCCCAGAGATGTGACACCTTAGGCAAATCCCACATCGACAAAATGATAAAATACGAGAGAGATGCTGGGTATACAAGTAGACATGTCTTAGACTCTAGAGACGCGTTCTAAAGTTGTACGGGCCTAGACCCAAAGCGGACAATAGCACTAGTGGGCTGGGTTGTTTCATACTCAACGAGGACACTGAGTCCCAAGGGGTAGGCAATCCCATATCGATAAAATACGGAAGAGATGCTGGGTATATAAGTAAACATGCTTTAGACTCTAAAGGCGCATTTTAAAACCGTACGGGCCTAGACTGGACTGTTACAAATTCTAACCCCCGAAAGTAGTAATCCATCCCAATTAAAGATGAGATTTTTCATATATCTCTATTAACATATAACTCTAAGCAAAGAATAAAGAGCAGAGGCGGATGTAGTGAACAACTAACGGGTTCAACTGAACCCATAACTTTTGACGCGGAGTAAAAATTTATATGTAAAAATTTATTAAAATTACAAAAATAGTGAATATGAACTCATAACTACAAAAACATAATCGGTTCAATATTTTTTTTGGTAATTAAACAATTTTATTACCAAGTAAATATGTACAAGTATTTCGTATCTGAGTTTGGACATGCAGCCCCAAACTCAGTTAACTCCTCCAATTCTAATACTCCTAAGGATAGAAATTTAGTTTTTGAAGTACATTCCTTAAGCTACTGTCTCTACTCCCTATTACAATGTATCTCCTGTATTATCTGCCTTGTGATAGTTTCACTACTCTTTTCCTGCTGAAAAGTTCTTCTGTACCGTTCCAACCAAATCTGGTAGACAACATTTGTGATACATATTCTGTATAGCATGGTTTTCGACCCTTTCCCCTTCATGTGATCTGCTGCCCATTTTAGTTCTTCCTTTCAGCCAGTTATTCTTCGTGTCAATCCTATCCATGTTAATGGCTTCCCCCATACTTCTGCTGAGAATCTGCATATAAAGAAAACATGCTGATGGCTCTCCAGCTCTTGCTCACAAAGTGAACATTTTGGATCAACTTGTAGTCCCAGCTGCTCAACCTGTCTTTGGTGTATAATTTCTCTTGTATAGAAAGATATAATATGAATTTCCATCTTGGACAACTTTTGTTATTACATATTAATCTGCTCCAATCTTCTTTTGGGAAATCACCTCTCAGTTGATTGTACACTGCCCTAATAGAGTATGTTTGAGTTCCCAATACCTTCTCAATATCCAACCTTGCTTCATTTATATATTTCCCAGCCTGTAGTATCTTCCTGATTATCCATGAAGCTTGCTTCACTTCTACTTGCCATGGAGTTCTCCCCTTTATATAGTAAACATGCACCCACCTTATCCATAATTTGTCCTTCTTCATACATACATTCCAGAGATATTTTATTAAGGCTGCTCTATTCCAGATGCTGAGATCAGTGATGTTCAGTCCACCTTTAGATTTAGGCCTGCAAATTTTCTCCCAAGCTACCAGAGCTTTCTTGCTAGCATTTGTATCTCCAGTCCAAAGGAATCTTCTACAAATCCCTTCAACCATCTGTATTATTTTCTTTGGCAGAGGAAAGACCTGTGACCAGAAGTTTTGGATGGCAATTAGTA